GAACAAAACTGGGGGCACCTGGGTTGCTCAGTCATTAAGCATCTGTTTTTAGCTTAGGTCATGAACCCAGGGTCCGGCGTTCAAGCCCCATATCAGGCACCCTGATCGGCAGGAAGCCTACTTCTGCATCTTCCACTCCCCCTGCTTGTGTTTCCTCTCTTGCTGTGTCTCTCTGTCAAATAAATAAATAAAATATTTTAAAATTAAAAAAGGAACAAAGTGAAATTTTAGAACAAAATTTTAGAACAAAACAACTGAATAGAAAAATTCAATAGAGAAGTTAGAAAGGAGACTGGATTAAGAATTAGAAAGAATCAGCAAATGTGAGAATAGGTCATTTGAAATTATCCAGTCAGAGGAAGAAAAATAAAAATCAATGAGAAAGGAAGAAAGAAAAGGAGGAAGGGAGAGGAAGAAAATAAAGAAGAAGAAAGAAAGAAAGAAAGAAAGAAAGAAAGAAAGAAAGAAAGAAAACTGACAGGAAGGAGGAAGGGAGGGAGGAAGGAAGGAAGAAAAAAATAAAGAGAGGAAAAGAGAGGAAGGAAGGAAGAGAGGAAGGGAGAAAGAAAGGGAGGGAGGGAGGGAGAGAGAGGAAGGAAGGAAGGAGAGAAGGTAGGAAGGAAGGAAGAAATAAAGAAGAAGGAAGAAAGGAGAGAAAGAAAGGAAGGAGGGAAGGAAGGGAGGGAAGGAGGAAGGGAGAAAGGAAAGAAGGAAGGAAAGAAAGAAAGAAAAAGAATTATAGGGCATCATAAAGCCAAACAATATAAGCATTATTGGAGTCTCAGACAAACAGGGAAAGAAACAGATTGCTTATTTGAAGAAACAATGGCTAAAACTTCTCAAATCTGAAGAAAATAAATGAATTTCCAGATTATTGGAGCCTAATGGAACCCAAGAAGGAAGAATCTGAAGTCCAGCCAAGACATATTATAATCATGTTGTCATAAGTCAACAATAAAGAATTTTGAAAGCAGCAAGAGAAGAGATTTGTCACATATAAAGGAGCCCCCATAAGAACACCACCAAATTTCTCCACAGAAACTTTAAAAGCCAGAAGAAAATGAGATAATATATTCAAACTGCTGAAAGAAGCAGGGGAAATGGTTGATGAAGTAGAAGGATTCTGAGCCCACCTTCTCCCATAGACACCAAGGCAACAGCTACGTGTAATGCAACTCAATCTGAAAACAACCGGAAGATTGGTAGAACTAAAGACATAGAGAGAAAGCCACATCAAGGAGAGTACTGGGGCACCTAGCTGGCTCAGTTGTTGAGGCTCTGCCTTTGGCTCAGGCATGATCTCAAGGTACTGGAATGGAGCCCCACGCTGGGCTGCCTGCTCAGTGGGGAGCCTGCTTTTCCCTCCCTCCCTCCCTCCCTCTCTCTCTCTCTCTCTCTGCCTCTCCCCTGCTTGTGTACTTTCTCTCTCTGTGTCAAATAAATAAATAAATAATCTTAAAAAAAAAAGAAAAAAAAGGAAGGGTATCTGGGTGGCTCAATCAGTTAAGCTTCTGTCTTCAGCTCAGGTCATTGTCCCAGGGTCCTGGGATCCAACCCTGTGTCAGGCTCCCTGCTAGGTGGGGGACCTGTTTCTTCCTCTCACTCTGCCTGCAGTTCCCCTTGCTTGTGCTGTTTCTCTCTCTCTCTCTCTCTCCTCTGTCAAATAAATAAAGTCTTTAAAAAAAAGAAAGAGGAGAAGGAGGAGGGAGGGATAGGAAGGGCAGAGATGCAGTTGGGAACCCAGTCCCCCACACAGTGACCTAGAATCAGGACAATACCACAGGCATGAAGGAATGGGGAGATCAACCCACAGAGGCAGGCCCAGCCCTGGAGATCTGCACCAGGAGGACAAGCTCCCATAACATCTCCCTTTGAACATCTTTAGGGCTTAACTCTGGAAGAGTCAAAGGACTATAGGAAACCATCTCTACTCTTGAAAGGCCAGCAAACTGTATCATTCAGCATGATACTTAGCATTGAAGCAATATTTTTTAAAGGGCCTGGGTATATGTGAAGGAGATTAATTGACCAATTTCAGGACATGTGCCAAAGGGGCAGGAATCTGCAGGAGCTTTCCCTGGGAACAGAAGTGGTGGTGAGTCCTCATTTAGCTAGCTGCAGGAGCCAGTTCTGACACTTTCCATCTACGTTGCTAGCACCACTTGCCCCATCCAACCCGCTCACCCCAACAGGCTCCCCTCCAAAGAAGCTCCCACTGCATGACCTCTGGTATCTCTCCAGAAAGACTCCTGCCATTAGGGGACATACAATATGATATAATAAACATAAAACATGGAAGAAGAAGTAAAAATGTAGTGCTTTCACAATGTGTTCAAACTTAAGTGACCATCAACTTGGTATTGACTGTTACATAGGTAGAATATTATATATGGACCTCATGGTAATCACAAACCAAAAACATATATTAGATACATAAAAAATAAAATATAACACTAAAAAATTTCAAAAATCACAAGGGAAGAGAGCAAGAGAAGAATAAAGGAGCAAAGAAGAACTACAAAAACAATCAGAAGACAACAAAATGGCAATAAGTACATATCTATCAATAATTATTTTAACATAAATTAACCAAATGCTCTAATCAAAAAACATAGGGTGGATGAATAGTTAAAACAAAGCAAAACAAGACAAGAACCAATACATGCTCCCTACAAGAGCCTCCGTTCAAATCTCAAGACACACACAGACTAAAAGTGAAGAAATGGAAAAAGATATTTCATTCAAATGGAAACAGAAAGACATTTAGGATAACAATAATTATACAAGACAAAATAGACTTTAAAATAAAGACTGTAATAAGAGACAAAGAAGAGTATTGCATAATGATAAAGGAATCAATCCAACAAAGAGGATAAAACAATTGTAAATATCTATGCACTCAACACAATAGCACCTAAATATATAAAGCAAATATTACCAGACATGAAGGGAGAACTTGAAAGCAACACAATAATAGTAGGGAACTTTAACACCCAATTTACATCAGTAGATAGATAATCCAGACAGGAAATTAATAAGGAAACAGTGGTTTTGAACAACACATTAGACAAAATGGACTTAACAGATATATAGAGAACGTTCCATCTAAAAACCTCAAAAATACATTCTTTTCAAGTGCACATGGAACATTCTCTAGGACACATCATAAGTTGGGCCACAAAACAAGTCTCAATAAATTTAGCATTGAAATCATATCAATATCTTTTCTTTCTTTTTTTTTTTTAAGAGATTTTATCTTATGCTTTTTTTTTTTTTAAGTAAACTCTATGCCACACATAGGTATTGAACTCATGACCCTGAGATCAAGAGTTGCATGATCTACCAACTGAACCAGCCAGGTGCCCCTCAGGTATCTTTTCTGATCACAACAGTGTAAACTAGAAATCCTCTACAAGGGGAAAAAATTGGAAAAAAAAAAAAAAAACACATGTAGGCTAAACAAGATGCTATTAAACAACAAAAGTCAACAAAGAATTTCAAGAGGAATCAAAAAATACATAGAGAGGGGCACCTGGGTGGCTCAATGGGTTAAAGCCTCTGCCTTCGGCTCAGGTCATGATCCCAGAGTCCTGGGATGGAGCCCCGCATCGGGCTCTCTGCTCAGCAGGGAGCCTGCCTCCCCCTCTCTCTCTGCCTGCCTCTCTGCCTACTTGTGATTTCTGTCTGTCAAATAAATAAACAAAATCTTTAAAAAAAAATACATGGAGACAAATGAAAATGGAAACACAACAGTTCAAAATCTTTGAGATGCAGCAAAAGCAGTTCTAAGAGAGAATTATAGCAATACGGGCTTCACTCAAGAAACAAAACAAAACAAAACCCTCAAATAAATGATCTAACCTTACACCTAAAGGAACTAAAAAAAAAAAGCCCAAAGTTAGTGGAAGGAAGGAAATAATAAAGATCAAAGCAGAAATAAATGATACAGAAACTAAAAACAAAACAAAACAATAAAAAAAAGAAAAAACACAACAGCAATAGAAAAGACGAAGGAAACTAAGAACTGGTTCTTTGAAAAGATAAAATTGATAAGGCTTTAGCCACACTCATCAGGGGGTAAAAAAAGGAGAGAAGAGTGAAATAAATAAGAAGTGAAGGAAAAGAAGTTACAAATGAATGAATGAGCACAGGGTGTGGGCCATGCCCTTGGCTTTAAGGAGGTTATGTCTTCACATGCCCACCTCCACTAGCAAGGAAAAGAAGAGCACAAAAGAAGGCACACTGCAACACTTCCGTCCCAAGACAAATCTCAACAAACCCCTGCCCCTCCAGCACTCTTTAATACTGAATCACCATCACATAAAATCCTCTTAATCTGCTGCCTTTGCACTGGTTCCTGAGACATATGAGTCCATGCACTAGCCTCTCAAAAGAAGTATCTCAGATCCCATAGTCTACCAGGCTCCCTGGATGTAAACCCCATTGGTTTTCAAAGTCAGACATTTTGAGGGTATGGTCTCTCTGGTGCAGGTCTCAAGGACTGGGATGCCCAGTGTGGGGCACAAATCCCTCACTTCTCAGGGAAAGTCTTAGGAGTGAGGTCCTTCCCTATTGTGTGTCACAGAGCCAGAGACAGGGTTTTGGTGAGACTGTGTCTCTGCCTCTCCTGCCCAATCTAGATGTGGTCCTTTTATCCCTCGTGAAGATATCCCAAGTTTCAGCTAGTTTTCAGTTCTTTTTCAACAGGAATTATTCTATATGTTATTGTAGATTTGATACGTCTATAGAAGAAGGTGAGTTCAGGATCTTTCTAGCTGCCATCTTGAACCACTGCATAATTTACAAGTTATTCTTCTTTTTCCTAGAAAATAAAACACAGTAGTTTTACAATTCATTCAATGGCAGCTGGTAATCATCAAATTAGCAATGGTTATCTTCAGAAGTTTTTACACTAGCTATGCCATCATTTCTAGAGGATGAGCAAATACCTAGAGTCACAGACATTTCCCATATAAGATGCATCTTATAAATCAGACTTGATTTATCACCAGAATTTATAAAACCATACCTAGGGAAATAACTAGGCCTGGGGACACAGGCATGGTCTTAATATAGTGAATGCTGAGCCTGCCCTGATTATTAAAAAATCAGAATAGCAAGAATTGTCACAGTATAAATTATTATTAGTGAACAAACCAATAGGGAAAAAAGGACAAATGGCTTAACTAGACTCTTATCAAGAGAAAATCCGGGGTGCCTGGGTGGCTCAGTGGGTTAAGCCGCTGCCTTCGGCTCAGGTCATGATCTCAGGGTCCTGGGATCGAGCCCCGCATCGGGCTCTCTGCTCAGCAGGGAACCTGCTTCCTCCTCTCTCTCTCTCTCTGCCTCTCTGCCTACTTGTGATCTCTCTCTGTCAAATAAATAAATAAAATCTTTTAAAAAAAAAAGAGAAAATCCAAATAACTAATAAACATATGAAAAGATACCCCAACTTAGTTGTGATCAGGGAAATTGAATTAATCCTCCATGAGGGAACAACTAGATAGCCATCAAGTTGTCTAAAGTGTAAGGTCTGACAGTACCAAGTAGTGCTAAGGATGTGGAATAACCAAAATCCTTATACATTGCTGAGGGATGTACAAGTTAGTAAAAAGCACTTTAGTAAGCAATTTGGCATTTAGGATAAATTGATGATATGTGTGCCCTGTGACTTAGCAATTTCACTCCAAGTTATCTTTCCTCCAAAAACCAAGCCTGGGTGCACAGAATGTAAGTAACAAAAATGTCCACAGCAGTGCTCTTTATAACCCATGGAAACAATTCAAATGCTTGTCAGCAGTCATAAATACATTAAGTAGCCGGTGGCGCCTGGGTGGCTCAGTGGGTTAAAGCCTCTGCCTTCAGCTCAGGTCATGATCCCAGGATCCTGGGATCGAGCCCCGCATCAGGCTCTCTGCTAGGCAGGGAGCCTGCTTCCCTTCCTCTCTCTCTGCCTGCCTGTCTGCCTACTTGTGATCTCTGTCAAATAAATAAATAAAATCTTTTAAAAAAAAATACATTAAGTAGCCAATACACTGAGGTAAACACTAATGCTGCATGAGAAACACAGACAAATCTTAAAAACATAATAAAGAACGAAGCCAGCCACAAATAAAACTTTTGTGCTGCCATTTATAAATAGGTCAAAAAGAAGCAAATTAAACCACCCTGTTTGGGGCGCCTGGGTGGCTCAGTCAGTTAAGCCTCTGCCTTGCTTGGTCATGATTTCAGGGTCTTGGGATCAAGCCCCACATCAGGCTCCCCGGTCAGCGAGGAGTCTGCTTCTCCCTCTGCCCTTCCGCCCACTTCTGCACTCTCTCTCTCCCTCTTTTTCTAATGAATAGATAAAACCTTAAAAAAAAAAAAAAACACCCTATTTAGTGATGCTTACTGAAGGAAAAACCACAAAACAAAGCAAGAAATTGATGATTATCCAAGTCAGAGCACCAGTGCCTTGTGAAGGTACATAGTGGGCTGTGGTCATTTAAGGGTTCCCTGGGACATTCTGTGATGCTGGAAAAGGTATGTTTTCTTGATCTAAGTGCTGGCTACAGTGTCTGCTATATATTCCATCACTAAGCTATGGATGTGATTTGCTTATTTTTCCTTATGTGTACTAAATTTCATCATTTAACAGTGGTCTGTTTTTAAAATTTAAAAATAAGAGCAATGGGTGTACATAAACTTTTACATCGAGAAAAAAATGCAGTGAAGTCATTCACTCAGGAACTGTGTGACTAGTGAATGAGGCAGCTGGGAAAGAGATTTGCTCCTTCAATAGGTTAATTTATTAATGTAGCATAAATTGTGTAGTCATTGTGTTTGGTTTTCTCTCTCTCTCTCTCTTTTTTCTTTTTTTTTTTTTTTTTTTTTTTTTTTTTGAAGTCAGACATGATACAGAGAGCACAAAAATTCTAGGAAACTAAAAAAAGAAGAAAGTACCAACAGGGCAAACAATAAAGCTGTTTGTGTTTCCCTGGCAATTTTCCCCAACAAGACCTTAGGCAGGAGGTGGGAATACTCATCACAGTTAGGAAAAGCTCCTGCCCAGAGGTTGGGATGGTGATTTAATCAGGACACGCACAGGTGGAGAGGAAAGTGTCCATCCTGCGCACATGCTAATCTCCAAATGCATTGTAGATTTGCTTTTCCAGAAACAGATATAGGAGGGGTTCAGAAGTATTTGGAAAATGTTAGGTCCATTCTTTCCAAATTCCCAAATGCACGATTTATCAAGTTAAAATACATGGAGAAGGACAGAGTCTGAACTGAGAATCAAAAGAGCTGAATATTTTATGCCAGCACAGCTCACCACTTGCTTCTTTTCTTGTGGAAGCCCATTCATCCATTCACCCATTCAAGCCCTGTGGCCTCCATCTCTGAAAGAATGAGAAGGTACCACTGAGTCTGCGCTGTGTCTTAGCAGCAGATGGTCAGCCTATGGCTTGCATTCTGTGGCAGGAATTGTATGCCCCGTGCAGAGTCTCCTGGGAGTCTTCCATGGCGCCATGAAAGGGAACCTTCAGCCCTGATCTAGGATTGAACTACTTATTTCTAGTCACTAGCACCCCTCCTCTTCCCCACTCCATGCTCTCAGCAACACACATTGTTGGAACCCAGAATAAAACTTGCCCGGCTGTTTTACGCATTCGCTAAGAGATCTTTTGGAGAGAGTGTGCAAAAAAAGAAAGAAACACAGCTATAATGGTGGAATTTAATAATGAAGGAGGAGGAGGAGGAAAAGGGGAAGGAGGAGCAGGTGGTGGTCTTAGGTGAGGGTGGGCGGGGGGAGGAAGAGAAGGAAATGAATAACCTAATTTCTACCAGAATGAGTGCAATGCACTTTGTAATTTGTCATCATCAGAAAACCCTTTTATAATACACTTTTGAGAAGAGGAAGTTCAAGCTCAGAGATGCTAAATAATTTATCCAAGGGTATATGACTGCAAAATGGAGTATAACCAATTATGCTCTACTGCCACTTTACAAACTCAATCCTGTAGTCGTGGGCTACTTGGGTACAAGCCTTCCTCAAAGAGCAAGAATATAACTAAAGTAAGTGTCTCTTGAACTTCTGGTCCTCCACCCACCACTCCAGGGAAGACAGGCCTAATGACTCTTCCCCAGAGTTATGTCCCTATAGCTCCAGAAAAGTGGTGTCCTACTCTACTCTGAACACTGGGCATCCAACCTTGAACACCGCACTGATCTGGCTCTTCCTGTGAAATACCAGAAGAGAGTTCCAACATACCCATTCCAAGATGAGTACCTTTCCCAGAACCCCAAAGTTTCCAAATACTAGGCAACATTTCATACTAGTCATTTAGAAAATGAAGCCCCGTAGTGAATTTTTTTGGGTGACAGATTCCCTGTACCATCTGCCTCTAGCCAGGTGAAAAAATCTGCTGCCCAAAGAGAAGGCCACCCTTCTCTGCTATGGCTGAGCCCCTACTTAACTCTTGGGCAGACCAACAGTTGACACCTTGAGACCCTTTGTTTCTTGAAATATGGCAAGTTCTTGTTCATATCCTTTCTGATCTTAAATTAAGCCCATGTTTATAACATCACTTGTCTGGTCTCCTGTGTTCTCAGTAGGACTCCAAAGGAAAGGAGAAACAAAGTAGTAAGAAAGTAGGCACTTTTCCTGCCATTTTTCTATCATATATGTGAATTATAGAGTAAATATTTGGGCCTGGGCACGAAGATGCCTGGTCTCTGTGCCTGTTTGGCCTTGACTGAGTTGCTTCTCTTCCCAGAATTTGTAGAAGTAGCACAGACAGGACCAGGAACTCTTCTTCCTCTAACCCTGAGGCAGCCTGTCTCCCCTGAGTGCCCTTCCAAGTAGAATGAGGCCAGTGTCCAACCCACCCAGCCTTGTCCAGCTCTATAAAGGAATCTCCCAAGTGGCCACCCCCAGGAAGTTCCAGGTCTATGCCCTCTCGAGCAATGAGGCACTTTCTCTCTGGATTACTCTTCCTTCTGTTGATCTCACTGCCTTCAGGTAAGATGGCAGGTACAGGTCTGACCATGAAAGTGGGGGTCTTCTGAGGACACAGGCACTTAAAATCCCTTATGGACATAAGACCAGCTGGGGGACTCCCCAACAGCAGATGGAGCAGCAGGCTAGGGATGGGATGTGAGTTAATGGTCTTCAGTCCCTGCCCTGCTCATCGGTTGTCACATCCTGAACGTCTACCTGAGTTGAGAGAGAGGATCCCATTTCGTGACACACACATCACTGTTTAGCTATCCAAATTCCTATTTCCCTAACTTTCTTTGATTAGGCTTGGATGTGGTGGCCTTTACTGAGATAGGGTAAAAGGTGAGAGAACAGAATACAGAAGGTCCGTCACAAATAATAAACCACCCACCAAGTAGAGAGGGCAGGAATAGGATTTCTCCCGATCTTGTAAAGCCTGACTTTTTTTTCCATGTTCTTTTTTTTCCTTCAGGGAATGGATTGTTTGGAAATGATGGAAAAGAAACTCATCCGTGCATGGCAATTAAAGGCAGGGGCTTCTTTGGTTGCAGAGTGGGATGGACATAGGTAGCAATCTGTCACAACATATTGGCTTATTGCATAAAAATGAAGAAAAATATCCCCCCTCAGGCCAATAAGCCATGACCCTCCCCTCATTGGTCCAATTAAAAGGATATATGAATGGCTAAAAGGACAAAATCCCCACTCTGTGTGTAAAGATCATCACCAAGCCATGGGTAGCAAATGAGGGGCAGATTCTCATCAAGTTACTGGCAACACTCCAGAGGTAATTTATGAAGGGGCACTGGGACAAAATGTATCTCCTTTTCTTTTTTCTGCCTTCCCAACCCCAATCACCAATTCCTGTTTCAGACTTAAATTCAGTTGATGAAGACACGGCCCCAGGCCCAAGGAGATGATGTGTGCTGAGCTCAATCACCATCGCTTTCTCTGCGCCAGTCACACGTTCAAGTGGTTCACGTATATTAAATCACTTCATCCTCACCACAAAAGCTTTTTTTTTTCTTTTGCTCCAATTTTGCGGATGAAGGAACTTTTCCAAGGTCACACAATCAGTAAGAGTTAGTTAGTAGTGGGTTTGAGCCCAGATAGATGGTCTTGATCCAGTCTTTCCTATTAAGCTATACCCAC